TTCCGATCATTGATCCTGCTTTATTTAAACATATTATCACTGTGACTTTACCCACTCGATCGTGCGCAATCTGCACGCTTCTCGATGTAAACCGAGAAATAAACTATTATTATTATTATTATTATTATTATTTCATCTCTCCACTATCACCAGTGTCTCGGGAATCTTTACGCAAATCTACCAAACAGTACTACTCGGCCATACTCTCAGCGATCAAGAAAGAGTGGTCACCAGAGGCAAAGAGAAAGTATCCTCAATTCTTCGCTCACCGAGAGGAGTTGTCAGTACAACTGGATGGTGTAATGAGTCGCGACGATCGATTGGTAATCCCACCGCCACTACAGAAGACGGTACTGGAAGAATTGCGTAAAGGACATGTGGGAGTGGAGAAGATGGAATCATTGGCTCCGCAGATGTGTTGGTGGCCGGAGTTGGACGCAGACTTTTACGTAACAGCCAAGAACTGTGAGTCATGTTTACATAAATTACAAAAAGTACCGAAAAACTGGACACCATGGCCGGAAAGTTATATACCATGGCAAAGGGTTCATTTGGATTTCTGTGGTCCATTTCTGAACCGGTACTAAGCCCTTGTTCTGATCGATTCATACCCCAAATAACCAGAGGTATTCTTTACGACTACGTCTACCACATCATTTGTGACACAATTACTACGAAAATGTTTTTGTCGCGAAGGGATTCCACAATTGCTTGTGGCGGACAACGGATCTCAGTTCTGTGCGACCGAAATGAAGCTTTGGATGGATTGCATCGGTTGCCGACATCTTCGAACTGTGCCTCGTCACCCGGTAGTGATGTGGAATCCCAACTATTAGGATTTCTGAAAATGACCTATTTTTAACCGTATTTTAGGAAAAGCGATATCGAATTCAGTTAAAATGGAACAGATTTTGCTTTTGGCTGATTCTGAGTAATGTGGTAAAATTTAATTTGTTTTAATCAACCTTAATTAACCTTGTACGGAAAGTACAAATATTGCAACCTAATGGCGGCGATCGGTCGTTTTTGAACGGATGGTAAAAATTGCTATGAATCGCTGGACGGATTCTTGGAGGACTTTTGTGAGTTCCAAAGGGTTACTTGTATTTCCTTTTACGTTTATGCGTCAAAGACAGCCAAACAACTGACACAGGAAGGAAAGTTTGGTCGGAAACTGACTGCCTGAGGGTTTTTCGTACTATTTCATCAAATATTGCTGTGTACATCACAGAAGGCGCGGCGCAACTGCAACCAGTTAATTATGCCTATCATTTCTAATGTATTTAACCCATTTTAGGGTGCAAAATATCCATTGTCCGGCATTCGTTGGAATTCGCGCGTCGGGGGAGTACCGAGTGATGAAACGTTGTCTGGTGCACAACCATGACTTCCACTTGGGCAGCGGGTTTTGTTTATAGGTAATTGTCGTCTATCTGGAGAACAGGAAGAGGAAAAGTGTATTTTGATGGACAATTTTAGAACTACTCGCGAGCTAAGGGATTTCACCCCACACAGGCTCCAGAGACCCTTAACTAGGGCAGATATAAAATCCATACGTTGAAGAAGGTCTGATTCGGATTCACGTGGCGATGCGGTGAAAGTTAGGGATCTTCTGGAGAGTCAGGGAGAAGTTACGATAGGGCCGAACGAAGGCGTCGTTCGTCACATTTATTTTCTTCCTAAGATTATGTTGTACTGCGTCGACAGGTTTAACGATGTTTTGTTAGCGGACGCCACACAGCTAAACTGTGGCGGGTACTTGCTTCGGCATGCTATGCTTGTAGAAGACACCGGTTTAGTAAGAAGTTTCTTCTACGCTATCTTGCCGAATGAGAGCGGTGAGAGCAATAGAGCTGGCGTGGGAGCCATGAAAGCTATGTGCCCAGTCTTTTCACAATGCAACACTATAGTAGTTGATCGTAGCTTGGCTCAGTACAACGCGCTTTTAGAATATTTTTCGTCCTCTAATGTGATATTTTGTAGTTTCTATCTCGTTAAGGATATGAAGAAGAAATGTGACCAGCTTTCTGGTATACCAACATTCGAAAGGTAGCGCATCTTTCAATGGATGCGCAAAATGGTGTATTGTGATAGTGAGGTATCATTTCGTAGATTCCTAGCCACCGTAGAAAATTTCACTATGGGACGCTTTGAAAGCTGAAAAAAGTTGGTATTACTTCGTATTTGTCGATGATCTTAGGCTGCAAGTTTCAGAATAGTATATAAAATGGCTCTTGTCAATTATATGGAAGGTGCAGTTCTTATAGATTCAATATGGGTACATTTCGCTTCCGAGAACTCGTTCATACATATTAACCAGTAATTATTTTATTTTTTTATGTAAAATAAACTACCCTTTAATTTCTCTGGTTTTTGGCTGCTGTATTGAAACCGGCGTCATATTTAGGGTCCTTCGTAGACGAAATAATTTGTGAGCAACGGTGGTCTCCAGCTGGGACTTTTTCATGGCTTGGAGAATGGGGGTCGATCAAATGACCTTAAATTGTTTGAATAAAGACGCGTTGGGATGCTGTGCGCTTACCCTCGTCACCCCTGATTGAACGTAGCGACAGAGAATCTAGTCAAAACTGTCAAGAGTGCAATTGCGTCTGCCAATCCTAAAAGGCTACATGAGTTGGAAACGTTGTTGGATAACTTCCTACTCCAATACCGAAACGCAACACATTCAATCACCAAGGAGAGCCCGGCAATGCTTTTTAAATCCAGACGCTTGCGATCCTCCCTACAGCGCGTCGACTCCAGTGACGTCGTATACTTCCGTGGTAATGATTTACGACCCGCCATCTGTATAGTCACACGACAACTGGATCAAGCCATGGTGGAAATTACCGGCTTGAATGATGCTACTGTGCACAAGCGACACGTGGACCAAATCCACTTCAAACCATCCACGGACTAGTGGCATCAAGAGACAAGCGAGGGCGACAGTTGGTTGCATACCCCATCAGCACAACCGACGGA